TATTCTTTTGAAAAACCAACTCTTCGATTCATTGATTTTTTTTGTATCATTCTCTTAGGCTCCATTGCATTGATTTCTGCTCTGATCTTTATAACTTCCTCCCTTGTTTGAGCTTTGGGTTTCTCTTGCTTTTCTTTTCTAGGAGCTTAAGATTCACCATTCGGTTATTTATTTGAGCTCACTGTTTTTCCTAGTGTGGGCATTCACTGCTATGAATTTCCCATGTAAAACTGTCTCATTATATCCCATAGATTCCTGTATGTTATACTGGCACTGTCATTATGTTGTAAAACCTGTCTAACTTCTTTAATTTCTGCTGTGACCATTGGTTGTTCAGGAGAGTGTTATTCAATTTCTATGTGTTTGTGAAGTTCTTATGGTTTCTTATGATATTGATCCCCAGTTTAATTGCATTATGGTCTGATAATATACCTGGGATAAATTCAATTCCTTTGCATTTATTTAAACAAGTTCTATGAGCTAACATGTGGTCTATTTTGGAAAATGACATGTGTGCAGCCAAAAAGAATGTATATTCTGATTTTGTGGGGTGGAACATTCTGTAGACATCTATTAAGTCCATTTGTTCAAAAGCTTGGTTCAGTCCTAGTATTTCATTATTGATTTTTAGTCTAGATGATCTGTCTATTTGTGACAATGGGGTGTTGAGGTCCCCAACTACAAATGTATTAGGGCTTAGTGTTTCATGTCCCTTAATATTTATTTTGTATAGTTGGAGGCATTAGTGTTTGGTGCACATATGTTTATTATTGTCATCTCTTCCTCTTGGCTTGCTCCCTTTAGAAGGATGTAGTGACCTTCTTTGTCTCTCTTAGTTTTGGTTTGAGATTCACTTTGTCTGCAAACAAGATAGCTACCCCTGCTTTTTTCCGGGTTCCTGATGCATGGAGAACTGTTTTCCATCCTTTTACTTTCAGTCTATGAGTTTCTTTTTCAAGTAGGTGTGTTTCTTGTATACAGCATATTGTTGGATTTGCTTCTTAATCCATTCTGCCAGTCTATTTCTTTTGATTGGTGAATTGAGGCCATTGACATTGATGGTTATAACTGATATGTATTGACTTATCACTGTCATGTTATTTTCCTGTTGTTGGTTCTTCTTTATTTTTCTCCCTCTCCCTTTAAATTCTCGCCTATTGGATTTGCTCTGTTGGGCCTCATGGAGTTGTGACCTTCACTGTCTTTTTCTAGGATATTTTTAAAAAATTGCTTGGAATGCTGGTTTGGTATTTATGAAGTTTCTCAGGTGTTCTTTGTCATGAAAATATCTTACTTCTCCAACAATTTTGAAAGATAGTTTTGCAGGATACAACAACCTAGGTTGGAGGTTGTTTTCTTTTAAAGTTTGAAATACCTCACTCCAGGCTCTCCTTGACTTGTGGGATTATGTTGAAAAGTCTGTTGTGATTCTGATGGGCTTTCCTTTGCATGTAATTTGTTTCTTTTCTCTAACTGATTGTAGTATTTTGTACTTCTGCTGGGTTTCCAGGATTTTGATTATTATATGTCTAAGTGTAGATTTTATTTTATTATAACTAGTTGGAATCCTGTATGCCTGTATGTCAAGTTCTTTTGCTCTGTTTGGGAAGTTTTCTATCATTAATTTTGTGAACAGTTTTTTTGTGTTATTTGTGCTTTCTCCTGCTTTTTTGTGGGCTCCTATTAATCTTTTATTATTCTTCTTTACATCATCTAGGAGCTGCTGGATTGATTTCTCATGGTCCCTTACTATTTTTAAGAGATTTCTCTTTTCATGGTCACTGACTGCCATCCTATCTTCTACATCTGATATTCTGTCTTCAGATTGGATTAGTCTGTGATGTATACTTTTAAGAGAGTTTTTAATCTCCTGGATATCAGTTTGAATCCGTTTCATGGATTCCATTTCTTTCTTATGTTGGGCCTTCATGGTTTCCATTTCTTTCCTACACTGAGAATTCATGGCTTCCATCATGGTCCTGAACTCTTTTTTTTTTTTTTTAATCTGTTTCTTTTCTAGAGTCTCTAATCATATCTTTTATCTGGGAAAGTATTTCTGTTTTGAATATTTCTGGAGCCTCATTCACCTGTTTTTTTTTTTTTCTTTTTTTCTGGTGCTATCAGTTCAGATTGTCTAGGTGGTTGATTATCAGACTTTTCCATCTCATTTCCCCAGAATTTGCCTTTGGTAAGCTGCAAGACTGTGTCTTGTTTAAATGTCTTTTCATTTCTATTATTGTTGTTAGTATAGTCCTTGGTTTAATTCCTGGGTTGATACTTAGATATTACTTATTGTAAGTATCTTTGTTGCTTGTTTTAGAAACCTTAAGGAGGTGTCTTCCAGATATACTTGATCTTTAGGATTTGAGTCTCTAATAACTCTGGGGCAATCTCATTTTTGTTATACCAGGAAAGATAACTGATTAGATCAATCACACTAGCCCAAGTGATACAACCAGCAACAACAAAAGAATCGAACACAGCTTAGAAAATGATACTTTGTGGTTGTTATTAATCTATCACCTTTAACCGTATGAAAGAAAACAAAATCTAAGACTAGCCCAAAATACGTTTATAATGAATAAACTGATCAATATAGTAACTTTACCCTTCGAGATGGGGACTTAGAAGGAGTAAGTTCCTCTTACTATTATTCACTTCTGCCCTAGCTCAGGGCAATGGACTTTAAGACCCGCTGTGCCTTTGCAGTGTAGATGAGGGACAGGTGTAGCCAGGAAGCCAGAGGGGGTGTAGGGGAGTGGAGGTGTGGTTTTGGGTCACTGGAAGGGCCTGCACAGCTCTGGTGGTGAGGAGGCCTGGGTGGGGGAGGGGCCCATGCCGATGGCTTCATGCAGCTCCCATCCTCATCTGTCTGCTGCTGATGGCGATTTTTTTTTTTTTTAAATATACCAGGGATCCAGCTTGGGACTTTGAACTTGCGAGGCAGGCAGTGGAACCACTGAGCTAAACCAGGACCTTGTGCATGCCAGCTTAAGTGCTCTACCCCTGAGCTACACCCTCAGTCCTAGTCTTACCTTAAATAAAGGAATATAGAAAAGTTGAAAGTAAAAACGTGGAATAATATTGTGCAGTATTAACCAAAGGAAACATGGTGTGGCAGCTATATCAATAACAAAAAAGTAGATGCAGCAAAGTCAAAAGTATTAACAGACATTTGCTGAGAGTGGTAGCACACATCTATATTCCCAGCACTTGGGAGACAGACAGGAGTTTCACCCACTGAGAGTCTGAAGCAAGCTTGGGCTACACAGTGAGTTCAAGGCCAGCCTGCACTCAGTCCTGAGTGTTGAAGTAGACAAGTCCACAGTCACAGTTGGAGGTTTTAATATACATCTCTCAATAGCTGATGGAGCGTGAAACCCAAACTTAGAGAAGAACTGAACCCCTACACCTCCCTCGCAAGTACAAGGTCCTGATTCAATCCCCGGTACCAAAAGAAAAAAATGGGAACTGAACCAGATGATAAATAAATGAATGAATCCAAATACATGGAACACTTCAACAATTGTACAATCTACATTCTTTTCACACTTACATGAAACATTTGCCTATGATAAGCATATTCTATGGCATAAAGGAAATCTCAGTACATGCTAAAAGAACTGAATCACACTTTTTAGTCAGCAGAAGCAAGCTGCACATAATATCAGAAAAATAAGAACTTCTCCAGATATCAAAAATTTATGCAATATAATATCTAACTAAGCTAATGAGTCAAAAGAGAAATTTCCAGTGAAAGTAGAAAGTATTTATAACTAACTAAATATAAAAAATAACTTATCAAAACTTATAGGCAAAGTTGTGTATATAAGGGAAATTCATAGCATAAATACTTAAGGGGGAGGGATGAAAATTAGTAATCTAGCAAGCATCTCAAGAAGTTAGAAAAAGAACAACAAAGTTAATTCAACCAATACAGAAAACTGAAATAAGAAAGTCAGAGATCAATAAAGTAGAAAATGAAGTAATTTAAAGAAAATCAACTAACCATGACCATATAGATGAGGGCCCAATCAGGAAGTGGAAATCACACTAGTGTCCCTGTTGGCATTAGGCTCACCATGTTGACATGTGAGGCTAAGTATCTCAGTCTCTAGGTTTTACATCTGAATACCGGGCACTGTGTGAGCAGGGACTAGGCCATTCTAGTCATGACAGTGTCCCAAACATCACCTGATCAAGGCCCAGCTGAGAGGCAGCATCAGGAACTCTTGCCAAATGAACATCCTGACAAGCTCGCCTGCACACACTGCCCATGAAGGCTGGTGGGCTGGAGGAGGAGCCTGGTTTTCTATAGGAGGGAAACCCCAGTCTGGGGGGACACAGGAGTCAAAGGCTGGGTGAGAGCCAAAGGCCCTGTTGATATAGGGGAAATAATAAAATTCCCAACCTGCTAGATGGCAGATACACCTGAGTTCATGTCCCCCAAAACTGAAGAATGAATTTTAAAGAAAAATTTAAGTTACGAGTAGGAAGACTTTATTGAGATCTCAGAAAGAGAGAGAACTCCTGAGAGATAGGAGGGGACCCAAAGTGGGTTTGCTCCAGACCCCCTTCACAGAGGAAATTTTATACAGGAAAATCACTAGATGGGTATAACATGGGTCAAAACCATGATCAACCAATAAGATAACAAGCATAGCCACTTAGGTAATATTGATCCAATGGGGAGGCAGGTCACATAGCAAGTGTGCATGGAAAGAACAAAGAACTTTTGTAGGAAGGGATAGATCAGGAAGTCTTGGTCACCCACTGAGGAGACTGATGTCTATCTAGACTTTATTGGAGCAGATGATGCCGATTATCTTATCCCTTGGAGGGGTATGTAGGCCTGGTCATCCTTGAGGCTTGGCCTCTCACAGATGCGCCTCCGGGCACGGTTGCAATGTGTTTTCATCTTTTGCACTGACTCTTTTGTCTAGGCCTGTCTGAGCACCTAGAATATTTTTACCTTACTTAGCGGTGTATAACACTGTTACCTGTAGATGGAGGCCAAGGGGCAGGTAAGCCACATGCTGTCAGTCAACTTGCCCAGCTGGTAAATGTCAAAGATGAAGTATGGCTGGTCGGTTTCCTTAGCAGGGTTATAGGGCACAAGGCAGGCTTCTACCTGCAGCTCAGGCCTCAAGCGGCTGTGTGCCAGCTTCTCCTCTCCCATATAGAGCCCGCAGGGCATGGGTTTCTCTCCGGGCTCCTCAATGTAGCAGTAGCCCAGGCGCTTGCGCTCACCCGGCACCCCGCAGAGGTTACAGTCCTGCCAGGGCTCCCACTGGGTGAAGATGAGCACCTCGCCTCCTAGCATCAGGGTCTCATTCTGCAGGGGCTGTTGGTCCAGGGTTTTGTGTGTAATGTGCAATGTGGTGACATCTTGGAAGTCAATCTCATATTCCACTGTGAGGGTATTGTGATTGTCCTGGCAGCTATAGAGGCCGGACTGGGAAGGCTGAGGGTTGACCAACAGCAGGCTGCCCCCAGGCAGGTTCTTTGTGTTATGTATTGAACTGATGAGGAAAACAGCCTTCCCTAGAATGGAGGTGAAATACCAGAGTGCCCCGGGATGATCACACCTCAGGACAATATTGTTGCCTGAGAGTAGGGCCCGCCGGCAGAGACTCTTGTAGGAACAGCTAATTGATGAATGGGCCCACAGAATGGAAAAAGAAAGGCTAATCAGCCACAGGGTGGCCAGCATGACAGACTGAGACAACAGGATGACTCTGGGAGCCATGCTGGGCTTTGTGAAGTTACCCATGCAACTCAGGGATTAGCCCCAGGCAGGAGAATGAATGTTAGTCTATGTGCTTTCAGGAATGTAATGAATGTATGTCACCAAATGGTTTCTTGCAGCTTGTAAGGGCAGAAAATTAAAATATCCACAGGAGCTGTGCAGGAAACAAAATGAGTAAACTTCAGTCAGAACAAATGCACTAAAAAGACCAATTATTTATCCTATATATATATATCTTATATATTATGATGAACTGGGAAAAAATGGCTTCTTGTCCATCAGAAAGAGGAGGAAGGGGAGTCACTTGGGAATTTCTGGTCAGTACAATTTTTTTTTTTTTTTTTTTGAACTTGGTTCCTTGCACTTGTGAGGCAAGCAGCAGAACCACTGAGCTAAATCCCCAGCCCTGGTCAATAATTTCTAAAATCCAGTAGGAAGATACTACAAGGGCCTCATATCTTGTTGGTGGGAAAGATCCCTTAATTTTAAGAATTAAATCAGCTCCTTGACTGGGTTGGGGGCTTCCTAAGCTATTCTCTGGCCCTTGTCTCCAGTCTCCAGGGAACTTTATCTTGGATATTCCTGAAGAAGCGTTGGGAGATACGACTTCTTGAGACATCATCCTCCATTTTCTCAACCCTCTTTTCTGTCCTCCAAAATTTGGAACCTAAGAATTCTTGTAAACCTCCAGTCAACTCCATTTATTTTTAAAAACCACAGTTCTGTTCAACTTTCCCTCTCCACGTCTCTCATACTGCTGGTATCTTACAGTTTATCTGGATTCCTTGGAGACCTATATCTTTCACCTGAAAGTGTAAGACTTGAATAGGCTAAAGTGACTCCATGCTAATAGGCCAGACTGTGCTTCTTGATATGCTAATTGCTACCTTGGTTAACAGCCCACCCAGGGGCAATTGGTATGACAAAAGGTGACCCTAGAACATTTCCTGCATAAGATAAGCAATGAATTCCCTGACTCTTTGTTTAGAAAAACCTTATAAAAAGTACCTCAGCCCCTGAGCAGTTGCCTCTCTGAGCTACCTGGCTCGGGGAGTGCCGTCTGGCCAGACTAATAAAGGTTTATTTACCATCTATCCTGGTGTGTTCCTTCCTGGGTTTCTCGTTTCTCAGTCGAGCTCCCGGAGCCTCGCTGGGTGTTAGGGCCCAGCATCGTGGAGGCTTTTTTGGCTGTTCACACTCCGTGGAGTGGAAGTGAGACTAAGTCTTACAAAAGGATTTTCTGATAGGGTTTTCATTCATTCAGAAATTTAACGATAGTTAATGATGATTTAACTAGTGCCGTTCTCTTGAGTTTATGCTTGGCAAAAGAAGTAGAGATTTCTGGGCTTTGTCTTTCTCAATTTTGAGCCAACTTTGCCAATATCCACTCCTAATATCCTACATCCCAACTGCTTCTCCTAAAGCTGCAAATTCTTTCAGGACATTACTGAAATTCCAAAGCATCTCAGGCAACAGTCTCCATCCTCAGGAGAAGGTTGCCTTGTTCCCAAAGTACCTAAGACAGTGCTATTTTGAGTTTTTGTTACAACAGCACCTCATTATTGAAGCTGTTACAAGCTAGCATGAGTCCTTGCTTCAGTGAAAATGGAAATCAAAATGGAGGAAACAGTGTGAATTTACAGGCAGAAGCCTTATTTGGAAAGTAAAAGAAAACAGGAAGGGACTTTGCTTAAGAGGAAGATAAGCTAAAGAGGGCACAGTCCTGATGGAGATTAGGGCAGCCCCTTAACAAAGGAGAGTGAGGGAAAAGGGAATGGATGGACTTCAGTTTGAGGAGCTAACTGTGGCATGGATCTGACCAGACCAGCCTCTTGGCAAACAAGGGAAGAGCCACAAGCTTTTAAGGCACTGCTGAGGTGGGTTAGGAGATGGTTGATGATTATCTCAGGCCTGGTTTGTAGATATGGAGAGATCTTTATGGCCTGAAGGGCAGCTCTGCTCCCTTGAGATGAGCGCTTCTGCCTGGCTACCATCTTGGCTGAGTGGAGGGCTCTGCTGGAATCTGAGGTGACTGGATTTCCACTAGATTTCCAAGGTATAGATTTCTAAAGCGGCTAGAGACTTCTAGGTACTCATTCCAGGGTGGGGAAAGCTGGTAGTTGAGGGTCCCTGCGAATCTCTCGGTGTTCTCAGTCTTGAAGGAGGATGAGATAGGTTAGGTAAATTTAGGGCAAAGAAGCCTTGTATTGCGGGTTCTTGGTAGACACTCCCTAAACATGCAGGCCTAGACATTTCCCTACAAGGAGGGCCAAGCAGGGATTTGACCCCATGTTTTAAGGTAATCAAGGAGACAGATACAGAATGAAGGCAGAGATGTCAAGCTATGTCCTGTTTTAGTTACCCATTGTGTATCTGTAGACAGAAGTAGAGTCACTGTTTTTAGCAAAAGCAGCTTTAATGAGAAAACAGAAATCATGCTTTCAATGAGGAGCAGATTAAGAGCCCAGCAGCCTGTTTGTCTTCTGTCTCTGTGTCCCCAAAGTTATGTTTTTATTTACTATTTTTGTGGTGCTTGGATTTAAATCAGGACCCTCACATTAAGCTCTGCCCCAGATTTTTTTTTTTTTTTTTTTGAGACAGGGTCTCAGAATCACAAGTCCCTGGGTTGGGCTCAAACTTCTGATCCTCTTGCCTCAACCTCCCAGAGTGCTGGGAATACAGATGCGCACCACCATGCCCAGCTAACCAATGTTTTCATTTTTCCTCTAGTTTATTCTTGGAGACACTATGTCAGAGGCATGTTGGCTTCTGAGTTTTAAGGTTGATGAGATTGTTCTGGAGAATGAAAGTAGGGAAGATAACATACCATATATACCATAGTTTCATGGGTAGCAGGTCCCAAGTTAAGGCCTAGGAATGTATCTGCCCCTTGATCCTGAATGTCTCTTACCTCTGCCTAATTCTGGAATCAGTGAAGATAGGCTATTTGATACTATGGTAAGCTTCTGCCAAACCTTAGTGACTTAGAATAACAAATGTCTACTTCTCACTAGTGCTCCACGTCCACTGTGGGCAGCGGTTTCAGTCACAGCTTCACCACGCTATGCCCAGCACATTCACCTACTCCATAATAATAACTGCTTACCCAACTTGCACCAGACACTAGGGATGCAGGCAAAATCCCCGACCTCTTAGAGCTTACCATCTAGTGGGAATGTATTAGTCAGGATGGGTTAGATTGCGCTATGTAACAAAAGAATTCTGGAATGTCAGGGATGTAACACCATTCTTTTTTCATGGTACTGGCTAGTGGACATCTCCACCCCACAGGGTTCCTATCGATACACCTGGAATATCACTAGTTGCTGTGCTAGGAGAAGGGAGGATAATGAGTCGTGCTCTGGGAATTAAATGCTTTGCCTGGCAGGGACCCACATTACTTTTTCTGAGAGGCTACTAATAAAATTAATCACATAGCCCCACCTAACTACAGGGTGGGCTGAGAAATGTAGAGAGACACATAGGATATTTGCTGAGCAATATTGTCTTTATACGGGGAGAGGATAAATGGCAAATGAATGCCTACCACAACCTCAGATCATAGTAAATGCTTTGTGGGGAAAAAGTGAGGAGTGAAAAAAGGGCTAGAGACTACTGGGGATGAATTGTGCTCCCTCCCTTGAAGCGCTAACATCTCAGAATGCGACTATATTTGAGAAAGGGGCATTTAAAAATGTGATTGAGTTAAATGGGGTGATTAGAGTGGATTCTAATCTGATATGATTGATGTCCTCATAAAGGGAGAAAATTAGGACACAGAAAATACACAGAGAAGGGTGGCTACATAAAGACATCGTGGAAGGAAGCCACCTGCCAGCCAAAGAGAAAGGCCTCACAATGAAACCAAACACGCCAACACCTTGATCCCGGATATTTAGCCTCCAGAAATATGAAGAAATGTGTCTAGTATTCAAGCCACAGAGAGTATTTCAAAGAAGTGGTGAGTAATCCCAACACTCAGGAGTCTGGGAAGGAGGATTGTGAGTTTGAAGCCAGCCTGGGCTACACGGTGAGTTCAAGGTCAGCCTGAACTACATAGCAAGGCCCTGTTTCAAGCAAACAGATAGACAGACAGACAGACAAATGGGGGTTGAGAAGAGAAGGCCTTCCAGAGAACTGATATTTTAGCAGATGTCTTTAAAGAGGAGCCAGGCTGAAGTCTGGACTAAGCATACAACACATACAAAGGCTTTGGGGAGAGAATGGTTTGCCATGCGTCGGTCTCCTGAGATCACCAGAAACACACCTGTGAAGTAAGGTGGGGAAAGGTGACTCATGCAGTGAAGCAAGATACCACGCCGTGAGGAATAGGGCAGCGCCTCCACAAGAAGCTATCAAGAGACTCATGGGATTTCGGCTCTGTCATGTGATTGGAGGACGAGTTCAAAGAGGTGGGAAGTCGCTCTGGATTGGGTGCTGTCATAAGCAGGACTAATTCTATCTTATCTAAAAGGTGAGCAGAATGGAGTGAAGCTAAAACTGCAGGTGGCAAAACAGCACTCACAGTAGCTGGGGTAGGAGGATGTTTGGTGTTTTGTGGCTGGGACAATGTTCCTGTTTTCTCTATGTGTGCAGCTGTAATTACAGAACGCACTTATATTTGCGTTGACTCATAGTTACAGAGAGGCCACCTCTGATGATGTCCTGTGAGAACTGCTGATGCTCAGTAGGAGAATACCATGGTCTGAGTGTGAGCTCTGGGACACCTTCCAGCAACACCAAGACCCATTGTTAGTGCCCAGCCAGCCCCCCAGCCTTCAGGAGCTGCTTTCTCTCACACACGTATCTGTGGAACATGCAATAAAGCCTCTTTCTGCAACGGAAGGCTGGTCCAATGGCTTTCTCTCTATAAACCTCAGTTTCCTCATTTTCAGAAAATTTTTACGGCACTGACCACACAGGGTTCTTGTAAGGGTTTGATGCACTGCTGCACGTAAAGTGCTCAGCCAGGATTATTACTGGGGGTGAGCAATAAGGACCCTGTCCTCCAGCTATCAGGGCTCTGTGTCCTCATTGTGGGTTACTGCTTTCAGTCACAGAGGTGCAGACACAGAGACAGGCTGCCATTGCTTCAATACCCACCAACCCGTAGGACTTCCAAAGGACATAAAGGGACAGATAGCTCTGGGTCCTCACTCCTGGACATTGGACACTTTGGGATTAGGACATTCAAAAACGACCAAATACACATCAGAATTCAGAGAGACACTGCACAAGCTCAGGAAAGGTGCAAGCTCAGAAAATCCTAAGCTTTCCACAGACACAGGCTACAATAATAAACAAAACCTAGCAAATACTGGGGGATGGTGAGAATCAGATTTCCAGAGTTACCACCAATAGAAGATTCAAATTTCTATGTTCAACCAAACACAGACAGACACACACACACACACACACTTTACAAAGAAACAAAGTATGGCCCATGATGGGGGGAAGTCCTGAAGAGGGCTCACTAGACAAAGACTTACCTGTTTTAAATAAAGGAAGCGTAGACAAAGACAGGGAAACGTGCTACGAACAAAACGAGGATATCAAAAAGACGACATAAAGAGGAAACAACCACAAAAGAGGAAAATTCTGGAGCTGAAAAATACAATTGCTGAAATAAAAAATTAGAAGGGTCCACAAAAACATATTCAATCAGGTAGAACAAAGATCAATAAACAATAAAACAACTGAAATTATTAAAGTTAAATAGGAAAGAGGACTGGGGATTTAGCTCGTGGTTCTGCCAACAGCCTCACAAACGCAAGGTCCCAAGTTTGATCCCCGATACCAAAAAAAGAAAAAAAAATTTAAAGGAAAGAAAGAAAGAAAAAATAGAGGAAAACTGAACAGAGCCGAAGGGATCTGTGGGACCAACACACATACTATGGGAGAAGAGAAAGAAGAGAGAACTATATCTGAAAAAATAATGCCTGAAAACTTTCCAAACCTGACATAAATCTACAAATCTCAACTGCTCAGCAGATTCAGCTGAGTAGGAAAACCAGAAGAAATCCTCATAGAGATGTATTATAATCAAGCTGTCAAGGCACAGATAAAGAGAGCCTTGCTGGGTGCAGTGACATCTGTAATCCCAGCTCCTCAAGAGACCAAGGCAGAGAGGAAGTGAAATTGAAGCCAGTCAACACAGCAAGAGTGTGTAGAAAAAAAAATCTTGAAAGCAGCAGAGAAATAATGTGCTATATCCAAGGGATCCTCAAAAAGATTATTGGCAAAACTCTCATCAGCATCCTTGGAAGCCAGAGACAGTGAGTTCATACATACAAAGTACTGAAAGGAAAACAAAGCAAAACAATCTGTCAGCCAAGAATTCTATACCTAGAAAAACTATCCTTCAACAACCAGGGAGAAATCAAGACATCCCCAGATAAACAAAAGCCAAAGGAATGTGTTACCACTAGATATGCCCTGCAGGAAAAATGATATTTCAGGTTGAAATGAAAAGATCATAGATAGTAACTTGAAGCCATATGAAGACCTAAAGACCTCTTGTAAATATATATATAGGCAACAATAAAGGCTGATTTCATTGTCATTTTGGCTTATAATTTCATTTTTTATGGCCTACACAATACAAAAGAAAACACATAAAAATCATTAATCTTCGAATTGGGAAAATGGGTAATTTGTGACATCAACAAAAAAGGAGTCACAGTTATACAGGAGCGAGTTTTTGCATGCTGTTAAAGATGGTATAAATTCAAAATAGAGTGTTATAACTTTAGGATGTTATGTGATGAATACAAAGGAAAAACTATAAGAATATACACAGTTGGAAATGAGAAGAAAATTTAAAAATTTTACTAACCCCCCCCAAAAGGGAAACAACATGAGAGAAGGCAGAAATGGATAAACTGAGGGAAAAAACTATAACATAAAAACAAGTAGCAAACTGGAAGAAGTCACTCCTTGTAGTAATTCCTTTGCATCAAAAGACAGTGGATGAATACTCCTAAGTGAAATAAATCAGACACACGTTTAAATACTGCATTGTTTCTCTGGTGTGAGAAACCAAAAGTGGAAATTAGGACTGAGATATATAATGGATGTTGGAAAACGAGAAGACAGTGTTTAAATGGGAAGGGAAACAAGGGAGGAGGGAGGGAGAGAGGAAGGGACAAGAAAAAAAGTAAAAATGGAAAGAGAAAATGGAAACAAAGCTTTTGTACATAGGGAGGGGTGGGGGCTCGAGTGGGGAAAGGAATAAAATAAAATAATAAAATTTATTTTTAGAAAAAGACAGTGGTTTAAAGAATGGATTTTTAAAATGACTCAGCGCATGGCGGTGAACACCTATAGTCTCAGTTATGTGGGAGGATGAGGCAGGAGGACCAGAAGTTCCATGCCAGCTTGGGCAACTTATCGAGAATCTGTCTCAAATTTATAAAAAGTAAAAATGGCTAGTGATATAGCTCAATAGCAGAATACTTGTCTGGCATGTGCAAGGCCCTGGGTTTAATCCCCCTCCCTGGGAAAAAACAAAGCAAACCAAAACAAACCCAAACTATATTTTGCCTACAAGAGAGTCATTTTAGATCTAAAGACACTGATATGTTTAAAGTGAAAAGAATAGTCTGTGGCAATGGTAACCAAGAGAGAGGTGCAGTGGTTATGCAAGTGTCAGACAAAATGGCCTTTAAATCGAGAAACAAAGAAGGGCACTGCACATTAATAAAAAGTTCAATGTAGCAAGAAAATATAATGCTCATAAACATTCACACACCTAATAATGGACCTCAAAATATAAAGAAAAAATTGATAGACTCAAAGGGAGAAATAGACCTCATCTATACAGCCAGCATTACCCTATTATCCAAAAGTAGATGAGGACACCAGTAGAAAAGAAATTTAAATACTAATATCCTTCCTGAACAAAAAGCCTCAACAAAGTCTGAGCAAGCTGACTCTATTAGCACATTAAAGGAGCATCCATCAAGACGAAGTAAGATTCGGGAAGTGTAGTTCTACATAAGGAAACCAGTCAATACAGAACCTGACATTTCCTTTGTTCCTCAATAGAATGAAGGGGGAAAAAAAATCACATATGGTCATTACCATGGCTCCAGAAAGGGAATTTGACAAAATCTAAGACCTCTTCATGATAAACAAAACAAAACAAAACAAAAAACCTCAGAAAACAAGAGGAGAAACTCCTCAACAAGTAAAGGGCATGTATGAAAAGCCTATAGCTAGCATCATACTTAGTACTGAAAAAAAAGTTTTTCTTTTTAAGACCAGAAACAAGATGAAGAGGCTCACTTTTACCATAGGTATTGTGGGGAGATCCACCCACATTTATCAGAAAAGAAAAGAAAACTCATTCAAATTGTGAAGGAAAAGGCCAAACTATCTCTATTCACAAATGACATGATCTTATATCTAGAAAACCCAAAAGACTCCACAAAACACCTACTAGAGTTAATAAGTAAATTCAGCAAAGCTGCAGGGTACAAGATCAACAAACAAAATTTAGTTGTGTTTTTATGAATCAGCACTGAACAATGTGAAAAGGAAATTAAAAAAACAATTCCACATACAATAGTGTCTAAAAGAATTGAATACTAAAGGATACATCAAACCAAGAAAGTGAAAGAGTTTTGCACTGGAAGCTATAAAAGATTTCCTTCTAGAATGATTAAGTAAATAGAAAGATATCCTGTGTTCATATCTAGGAAGACTTAACAAAAGTGACCTACAGATTCAACACAACCCCTATCAAATTTCTAATATCCGTTTTCAAAGAAATGGAAGCAAATCTTCAGACTTAAGTGGAGCTAGAAGAGCCTTCAAATAGCTGAAACAATCTTTGAAAAACAAGAATGGGGCTGGGAATTTAGCTTTTGATGGTGCTATTACCTGGCTCACAAGCACAAGTTTCTGAGTTTGATCCCTGATATGAAAGGGGGGAAAAGACAGAAAGAAAGAAAAAGAAGAATAAAGTTGAAGGACTCACACTTCCCAATCTGAACTTATTACAAAGTCACAGTAATTAAAATAGTATGGCACCATCATAAGGGGAGACACGGAGACTAATAGAATAGGAAAGAGAACCCAGAAATAAACCTTCACATATATATTCAATGACTTTTGACTAAGGAGCCAAAATCATTGAATGGGAGACAGGGCAGTCTTTTTAATAAAGGGTGATGGGAAATCTGGGTATCCACATGTAAAAGAATAAAATTGGATCCTTATTCTATATGTACAAAAATTAAAATGTCTCAAGAGCTAAAACTATAAAACTACCAGAAGAAAATGTCTGGGAAATCATGACATTGGATTTGGCAACAACTGCATAGATATGTTTTCAAAGGCACAGGCAATAAAATAAAATAGATGAATTGAACATCAAATTCAGAAGTTTTGTGCATCAAAGGAGATTATCAAGATATTTTTAAAAAACCTAGAGAAGGGGGAACTGACTGCAAAGTGTATATCTTACAAGGGATTAATTGTCAGAACATATATTGCACCCCTACAACTTGACAAGCTATCAATTCAAAAGTGGGCAAAGGAGGCAGGTGTGGTGATGAATGTCTGTAATCCCAGCACTTGGGAGGCTGAGGCAGGAGGATCACTGAGAGTTCAAAGCCAGCCTGGGCTACATTGTGAGTTCAAGGCCAGTCTAAAACTATACAGCAAGATCTTGTCTAACAAACAAAGAAAAAACAAAGCATTTGGATAGACATTTCTCTGAGGAAGATTTAATATCATTAGCCATCAGGGAAATGCAGATGGAAGCCATAATGAAATGCCCCTAACTAGGTTGGTTAAAATCAGGAAAATGGATAATAAGTGTTGGTGGTGTAGACAAATTGCAACCCTCCTGCGTTGCTGGTAAGAATGTACAAAGGTGCAGCCATTATGGAAAAAAGTTGAGTGGTTCTTCAAAAGGTTAAGAATCAAAGTACCACCACCTGCAATTCCACTCTTAGGTGTATATCCGAAAGAACTGAAGGCAGATATCTCTATATTGATGTTCACAGCTGGACTGCTTACAAAGACAAAAGGTAGAAACGATCCAAATGTCCATCAGCAGATGAATGGCTGAATAAAATGTGATACACGCTGTCTATGTGATCTACAATGGCAGGCTATTCAGCCATAAAAAGGAATGAAATTTTGATTGTGATGTATGTTGCAAAACAGATGGGCACTGAAAACACGTTCAATGAAATACACCGGACACAGAAGTACAAATGTTATATAATTCCACTTTTATGAAGCAATTTGACAGCCAAAAGTAGAATAAATGGTAGTGGCTGGAGGGAAGGGATGGGGGAAATGTTTCATTTATACTGAGGGTGATGAAAAAGGTTCGGGTAGCAGTGATGTGCATATGATATTGTGAATGTAATTAAGACCACTGAAGTTTACACTCACAAATGGCTAAAATTATAAATATTGTGATATGTATACCTTATCATAATATAACTTAAGGTGGTGAAGGCACGTGGACAGGTTGAAATTTTACAAGTGGAGAGGGAAGAGGTCATTGCAAAGGTGACCTCTAAGTGAGGCCCTGAAAGAGATGAAGGACCACGCCGACAGCTCCAGAAGGCTGTCCTGGCAGGACAGTAGCTTGGGCGATGTCCCTGAGGTGATCGGACAGGCAGAGTCAGAAACAAAGAGGAGGTTTCTGAGGACGAAGTTGAACAAGAGGGAGCGGCAGGAGGTGAAGTTAGAGGGGTGATAAGGCCATTCTAAGTATTTTGGTTTCTGCTGGGAGGAGCCATGGCATGGTTTTGCGCAGAGGAATGTGACGTGACTTGAGTACGATGCCGTAAAACAAAACACTCCTGGCTACCTGACCCACCAGCAAGGGTCCACTTCGCAACTTCTCTATGGGAAAACGCCCAGTGTTCCCCAGGATGCGCTTCCCTTCGGCGCCACCGGGGGGCAGCAGAGTCGCACCGAACGCAGCGTACCCTGCTTGCCGCACCGCGGCCGGTTCTCGGTGCAGGTGGCCAGTTCCCGGGATTTCTGGGCGGAAACTGGTCCCTGGCTTTGCGCCCCCGCTTGGCCGCTTTAAGAGCCAGAGTTTCCGGAGGCCTGGCCTGGGGCAAGGGATGGACTGGGGCCGAACCAAGAGTTGAGAGGAGGGGGAGGTGGCGAAAACTTTCGCAATAAATTCCAGCTCTGGAGAGTCCGACTCCCCTCGGGAGTCCCTAGGGGGTGCAAAGCTTCCCTTCCAGGGACTTCTCTTAACTCCTTAAGTGATCTAACTGGGAGGCCCAGGAAACCCACAGCACCTTCCCGAACCAGAGCCTGCCTGAGGAATCCCAGCCGAGCGGAGAGGCAGGCGCCCGGCA